TGAAACTTTGAAATTTGTTATGAATTTGTTTGAGACTTTTTTGCATTTTGTTTCGTTTCATTTGATTTTATTTCAGAACTTTTCAAGCGTTGAAGTTGGCGTCGAATATCTGTGGGTTCGGCGAGGTGCATCACTCGAGACAACGTCACCGTTCTCGTTCGAACGTCACGTTTGGGGTAATGCCGTGGTTTTGGGTGCTGCTTTAGCACAGGTATTTTGACTAGACTGGTTGATTTAGTAGTTGTAATTGATGATTGGTACTGAATCACGGAAAAGAAAAGATCACTCAAAAGATCGATCGTATTCTCTCGACTGATTATTTGGCCCCTATCGATAGGTTTTTAAGTTTGTTATGGATTCGCAAAAACGTTTGAGCAATATGTGTCAATCACCAACGAATACATTAGAAGCCTTATATGATATATTTTCCATCAAATCATTTGAATTCATTTCTTTCAATTTGGAGTTGTTTTTGTTTTGTTGTTTTTTTTCAGTTCTCGCATTCCACGACACAGAAACTGCAAGTACAACTGGACGAATGTCATTTTGAGTATGAGGATGAACTGGCGCAACAGGTCGCGATTGGCTTACGTTTCATTTCGTTTTTTGAGTTTGTTGCTGAGAATATTGTGACGAGGAAATTAAATGTATGTGAGCGATTTTGCTTTGAAAGCGAAAATTCGAGTGTAGAGAAGGCGATTCTTTCATAAATGTTGCATGCGTTAGATTTAGATGTATCCGACTGAAGTATTTGAAGTGAATGTTGTTGTTGTTGCAGATAACTTCATTCATTTGTGCTCTATTGCCATCGAAAGAAGGGTCGTCACTGAACAGAAAAGATTCGTGGAAGAACGTTCCAAACACATCACCACAACGAAACACGGAATTTATCGTTCAGATTTCAGCGAAAAAGTTAGTGGGTGTTAATAAGGATTTTTGGGTATTGTTTGCAGTGGTTTAGTTGTGTTGCGTGAGCGATTCCAACGAGTTTTGACGACATCTTTTTCTTCAGTTCTGATGAATTTTTCAAAGTGAACTGTGTTTTTCTTCAGATTGGCTGTGTTTTTGACGGCTCGTCAAGCGTCGTACGTAGTGGTAGCAGTGGATCATGCACGATTAGACGCTATGCCGGGT